GCAAGTATATTTCTCCTTTTTTATCAAGAAGCAAAGACAAAAAGGGGAAAATAAGAAACAGGGCAGGGTTGGGTGGTTGAATCATCCGTCCCCACCAACGCCAAAACCAAATCTACGCCCTTGGCAGGATGTCTCCACACATTTCTATGTTCAACGGTATATTGAACTAAAGAATCCACGAGAAAACTTTTGTTACTTTTTAGGATTTTGTGAGTTTAAAAGACGTAAACCCATGCCTTTAATGTGTTTATCTAGCCTTTCTTCTAATATTTTAACGTAATGCTAGCACGCGGGAAATATTGGACGTGAACACCGTTTTGCTCAAGTCTCAGAACTTCATTAACTTGTAATTAGTCGGTTTATGAGTAATCATTAGATCAGCTCACCACAAATCAAAGGCTTAATGTTTTCTCACTCTTTGTAATAACAAAACATCCGGGGTCCTCTAAGCAGCAACACAGAAACTGAAATTACGCTTCCCAGATCTGAAGCACGGGAGTGAAACTGTTCTTCATTGTTTGTTGTGTAACACGGAACACGTCAGTGTTGCTGTCCTGGCAGCTTAATCCTTGAGTTGCTATTAGCTATCTAAGCTAACGCTTATCCGTTAATTACTTTCGTCGACGTTTTGAATGACGGGTATTGAATGCTAAGCTAGTGTCAGTGCTGTAGGTCTCTGTGCAACTCTTTCCTGATCATTTAAGGAACTGCCAGAACTACAATCCAGAGTAACGCCTAGCTGTGTGCGTGCCAGTGCGAACAAACTAGACAAACACCGAGGTCGCTACCTGTCCCCTCTGGGTGCTGATGGTAGTTGCCATGTCGTCTCCTCTTTATCGGGATTTTCTATTTTTTCTTAAATCACAAGCTTACGGCGTTGAAAAACAAAACCACATATACTGTCCACTACAACGGATGTTTACCCTTCGAAAGACCTCCTCTTCCTGCTTGTTTTTTTATATATGTCATGTGACAACCAGTGTTACAGTGCTTTACCGCCACCTACTGCGTTGGAGTGGGCAATAGAACCACTCTAGCCTGCATTCAGTGGCGGTCCAAGGCTGTTTGTTTCAGTCCAACGCGTTCTCACTCCCAAAGCGTAACATTTTACGCTAGGTGACAAATCGTCAACATATTACGTTTTCGGCTACCCACCACGTTCCTAAATGA